ATCTGTACTAGTAACAAACCGGAGCATAGTCCGAGTAAATCATTATATAATATAAAATAAAGTAGCTGTCGCTGTCTGTCCGTCCCTATGTATGCTTAAATCTTCAAAATACGCAACGGATTTTTAAAATATTGATTGTTTATATATAAGCGGATGTACACCAGTGTTAGCTAGTAAAGGTTAAAAAACAATATTCATTCATTATTAAAGAAATTTATTGATTCAAGAGTTATCAGGTAACGGTTCACGGAGGACTAGTGAAGGATGATAAAATGAGGATGAGGTCAAGTCATAACTGACTTGAATTTACCACGATTATTTCCAGGGCTATTATTATTATTATATTCGTATATTCATATTAGTGGACCCAGCAGAGGCCGCTCTGCCTGCATTACATCAGCTTTTTTTAGAACAAATAAATAAATTTATTCAACATTACTTTGTGGGATTTACAATAAATATTATTAACATTTTTATATTATTTATTTAAAACCTACTTTCGTAACGCTGAAAGTGTCTCCCACTCACCATGCATGGTTTTTTGTTTTTTTTTTAATATTATTATTTTTATAGCACAGGGTACCAACGAGTTTTTTTTCGGACTTCTCTAATACTGTTGGCCGCATCTGGTTTTTACTGCTTCACCGGATATTAGGGGCGAGTGCAGATGACACTCCAAACCCGAGGAAGTACTTAGGAACGGCTAAAGGCTAAATCCCTCCTGACGGATACGGCTAGTCTGAGGGCTCCGCTAGGGGGTTCGAACCTCGGCTCAGGCTGACGTAATTTCAATACCCGATTGAGTTGGACGGAGGATCGATGGGAGGGGGCAAACCAGCATGCAGCTCACCTGATGGTATGTGATTATCGACGCCCATGAGCACCCGCAACACCAGGGAACTGCGTTGCCGTGCAATTGTCGTATTTAGAAGGAATAAGCTCATTTCTTGAAGGTTTCAATATCGTATTCTATCTTTTTCTCTTTATGCAAAGGTATACTATGTACCAGGGATGTTAGGGAGCTCTGTAACCGTAGCCGAAACTATCGGATATCCGATATAAAAAAATAGTCGTAACCGTAACCGAATCCGAAATAAAAGATTCGGATAATATCGGATAGGGGCGGAGCCTAATAGAGACACGTTATGAAACCATTTTATTAGCTATTTGTATTTTACTTTTGACATTCCTTAAGAAATATCCGTAACCGAAATTTACGGATAATCCGAAATAATTTAATATCCGCTTCCGTATCCGTATCCGGTATAATAATCATACCTATATCCGAAACCTATCCGTATCCGAAATTTCATATCCATTACATCCCTGCTATGTACATCAAAATCTCTTCAGGTCGTCAATATATATTATTTTTATCCCCAAAACATACAATAAAAAGTAATAGATCAAAAATATCTGTCGAATATTTAAATAAGGCAACATTGTGAGTATATATTTATCATGAGTTGATAGCTAATGCGTTCTGGCGGGCAGCCAGGTCCATCTGGAGTTTAGCCATTACTTATTATTGGAAAATAAATAGCAACAAAATAGTATAAAATATAATTAATACTAAACAACGCTATTTGGTAGCTATTGGAAAATATCATGTTATATGAGCAGAGAAAGGTCGAAAAAGAGATGAATGATGTGTGAAAGATGATATGATAAGAAAGGAAGTAAATGACGAGGTGACTGCATACAGGAATTAATGGAAGAGAAATACATATTAAGCCGACCACAAATAAATGGAATAAGGAAGAAACAGCTAATAAAGGAAAAAATCATGTTTAATTACTGATGAATTAGACACGATTGACTAACTGTGCTGACTTTATAATACTAAACAACGCTATTTGGTACCTATTGGAAAATATCAAGTTTAATTACTGATAAACTGATCGATCCTCCATCCGATTCAAACTGGGATCCAAATTACGAGGTTCTGATAATATCCGAGCCTTACATTGATTTTACACGGACCTAACTTAATAATGAATATCCATACAATCCATCTGGGATAACAATCGTGATAGATTTGTTATCGGTGTTTCTATTATCAGAAATATTAATTGACACCAAAAGTTTTCGTCTGTGTCATCCCGATTTTTTTTAATAGCTGATAATGGATTTGTAGTGGTATTTCCAGCGCATACCGTTAGTGTGGGCACCAGTGGAGGAGAATAAGATATAATAAGGTCAGTCAGCCCATCCTGGCAAACTGTCGGCCCGTATTTGAATTTGTATTCACGACCTTTTTGGCTAAGACGACGCAGTAACCACTAGGTCACGACGACTTTATTATGATTCACTGGTGTCGTAATAAGGAAAAATAGTCTTTTCTAAAGAACTTACTTGAGTTTAAATAATATTGATTTAGTGGTTGCTTGTTTGCATAGTAAAACATATTCAGGGCCGGATTAACCATTAGGTAATGTAGGCTAGGGGCCTAGAGGCCCCGTATTGGTTAGAGGCGCGCGGCAAGCACGAAGGAAACTGAAAATGGTTTATAAATTAAACATTTCATTGAAAAATTTGAACTATAGGTGGATAATTATTTATTTTGTATACTTTTAAAGGTGTAATAAAGATTTATAAATAAATATTATGAGAAACTGTTGCCTGCACTTTTTGGAACTAAGAATATGATATCTGTTATGCAGCTTATTTTAAGACAAGTAACACTTTTGACTTTTAAGAATATGCATCGTCTTCTGAAGATTTTTCCATAGAATAAAAAAAAGAGGTCCCCATAGTATTAACCCGGTTCTGAATTATAATTTGTTTGCTTTGAACAGCTTACATCAGCATTTCATAAACCTTTTCATAGACCTCTAAAAAATGTATGTTATTTCTCTAGGACAGCGGTCTTCAACATTTTATAAATCAAGTGTCAAAAACATTTTTATTCTGTACAGCGGGCCGCACTATATATTTTTTTTTTATCTCAGGACAATTCACACAGCGCCATCTAGACCCACATTAAGCTACCTAAAGCTTGTGTTATGGGTACTAGATAACTGATATAAGTACATAGATATTTTTTTTTTCGTAAATACATACATATTATACATGGACAACACCCAAACCGATACAAACAACCATGAATACAAATGTTTGTACCGTGCGAGGAATCGAACCCGCGACGATCGGACGTAAAGCCGTGTGGTAGACCGCTATACCACCGAGGTCGTCTAAATATATATTTTTATAAGGATTTTTTTATTTTATATAAAATGCACTTTTTATTACTTAATTTTTGTCGTTATTGAGAGTGGGTCTATGCTATTGGCGGGCCGCAGAAAACAAACCAACGGTCCGTGGGCCGCGGGTTAAAGACCCTTGCTCTAGGATATACTCAAATCACATTACAGAGGTCTTGTTAAAATACCAACAAGACCCTGCATTTACCACAAAAAACACAACCACTTGGAAAAAAGCAGTAACATAAGATTACTGCCTTTTTCCAACTCAAGTTTAGAGGAAAATAACTAAAAAGTAAGAGATTGCTTTGAGCGATTAGGCTGCCTTTTGTTAGCATAGTTTCGTATTAAGTTCTGTTTTTATAAATATTATTTTGTTCTTTATGCACAATAAAGAGTATTATTTTTATTATAAACAAAATGATTTCCAGATGAAATTAGATTTAAATAGAGTGCTCTGAATTACAAATTTTACACGTAAGACTAGTGGGGATATATTTTTTTTAATAGATATTATTGCTGAATTTATTTGTTTATAATGTTTCTTTGTACAAATGCAAACAACATTACATTTTTTAAACAAGGCTGTTTTCTTTTTATACATACATGGGTAGCTGTCCGTTTCTGAAAATTGTGTTACAATAACTTTTGCATGCACAACGGCCCGAATGAGAGGCTAATTGCGGAGACTGGAGTCCAACATACAATAACTTTGAAAAACTCTGAGCCAGCCTAATAATACTAACTTATACACCCCGTCTGAGCTAGAAGCAAACCTGACTTTGTCCCCCTTCCCAGTTTAGTACTAGGGTATGACCATAGAATAATTTGAGAGAACATTTCAACTTCTTTCTAGCAACATATGTCTACAAAAAGTTTCGAATGATGATATTTTTTTAAACTGTTATGATTTTATGTAATTCTACTGTAGGACTTGTATCCATTGTCACAAACAAAAACTTTTTTTTTAACTTAATATGGCTTCAACTAAAAGTTTATTCTTCACTAATGTTATTGTTAAAAAGTTTTCATTATATTCTCAGAAAACAAATTATTATTAAAAATTATATTACTTTGTTTATTTATTTATTATTCCAATTTATTTTTATTATCCAAATTCACACATAAACAGGCCAAGATTCCTTTATTAGAGACTGTTCTATATACCATTTTCTTTATTGGACAAAATTGTGCTTTAATTTATTAACATTAATTATGAATTAGAAACATATATCTTATATATTTTTAGATGCCTATCCCGGGAATGCTTTAATTATATTTTATTATCGTGTTAAATATTCTATACCTAAATATACTTATTTTATTTAGAATAAATGTATCAATAACTATTGTCTACTGTATTAAGAATAGTATATTAATTTATGTAAATAGTTTATTAAAACACTGTGCAAACAGGGTCTTTGTTGCAAACAAAACAATCATTGTTATTGACGCGATTTTTCTTACAAATAAATCGTATGGATAAGAATTACTACGAATTTAGTCTCCTAGGGTAACAACATTGTATATTATTTAAATAACCTTTATGCCACAGACAAAATAAAAAAAAGAAATAATTAACATTATCTTACATTATTAAGTTCGTTCTTTATTCAAAGCACATTTTATTTTAAATATTCATTGGACCGGGCAAAGGCAAACATTGTTTACGAACGAGACAAAGAACGTCACTATTTCCTGTTGATACGTGGTTATTGTGTAATTTCATCACTTACAGAAATAAGTACGAACTAAACAGATTTATTTAACGCGATATAAAATTATTTTACGACTTACAGAGATATGTGTTGAGCACAGAATTAGCAATTCACTAAAAAAAAGTAACACTCCAAAAACGCACAAAGTAATATATCACAAGCACTTCAAACCCACTGGTTTATGTCACATACTGTCATTAAGTTCAAACATTTAGAATTTTACTGAAAATATCTTTCCTTGTAGAAAAATATAATACAACTCGCCATAATCGTCTTGACAAAGTCGACAACGATTCAACGAGTAACTAAGTTGCTAGTGTTGCGACTTAACTGCTTATTTTTGTCAAATGTGGACTCGAATGAAATCGAGTATCTACTTGATAAAACTCGAATTTAATCGAAATCGATGACCCGAGTCAACACATTACATTTAAACAGTAGCTATGGCAAACTGTATGTATAAAGTAATGAATACCAGTAGCGAAGTACTATGTCGCCTCTTCTAAATTCTTGTGATTCCTATTCCTTAGCTATTATGTTGGTGTAAATTTATGTTTTGGTTATACATATGTGTGTAAAGATTATCAATAAAATCAAAGTTATCACTAATATTATTAACACGAAAGTTCGTGAGTATGGATGGACAGATGGATGTTTGCTATTCTTTCTCGCAAAAATTACTTAACAGATTATAATGGTACTTCAAAGTAATATAGCTTATACATCAAAATAACACATACAGTATAACTTAAACAGATAATATAAGTAAGGTAAAAAAAAGAAAGAATGAATATTTGTTCTTGTATATCTCTGAATCGGCTGAACCAATTTTGCCGGAACTTGCACTCGCAGATAGCCAAGGTTATAAGGAGTTACTACTTAGCCTTCTTTTGTTTAAGTTTTTAAGAGTTTAAATTTGTATTAATAATAAAAAAATCAAATAACAGAATATTCAAATATAATTGACAATTATATTAAAGATGTTCTATTTAATGAAACATAGCGATCGACAGTGCTTCGTCCTTTTTTGAAATCGGCTTAAAAGTGTTATCCATGTTGCTGAACAGTATATAAATCGAGTATGATTCGAGTGACGTAAAGAAACTACTCGAATAATTTTATTCGCATCACTATATATATATATATATATATGTATATTTGAAATGGCACAGATTAAGTAGAGATCAATGACATATCATTAATTGTGACAGTTCATGTTAGAGTGGACCGTCTGAGATATTTAATCTGGAGTAATTCTATAAATTACATTTACCTCCGATAGAGGTCGCTATTGTATTATAATCTACGATTTCAAATTATCATGTATACTTTAGAATCGAGCTGTTAATGTATTTTTAATACTAATTAAAACTTAAATAGCAAGTTCTGCAGTTTAGAAATAAAAATAAAACCTCTGTTCTGTATGAGGCGTAACATCAGTAGTATCCCTTGTATCATATATATAAGGTTACACGTCCGCGCGTCCGACGTCCGTCGTTTGGGCATTCCAAACGAAACTGACGAAACCAATTCCAAAAAATCTGCCATTTTATAAATAATATAATAGGGCTCATGACTGTGCTAACTTTTTATGCAAAAATTTTGACTTTTATAATCTGCTAAAATGCCCTGTGCTAATGAATAAATGATTACCACATTACTAACAATTTGTTTGCCTTATTTGCAACCTTCGGCTCACCACTTTCCTATTAAAATAATAATATAGTGATGCAGGAAATTAAAAATAATTGACAATAAATGATACAAAGATTTATTTAAAGTATTTATTAATTTCATGATATTACTTTTCAATACACATTCACACAATGATTATCCTTTCATGCAATGAAGGAAGGTATTTATATAGTTAATTATATTATAATAAAACCCAGTATAATGTCGTAGGTCTAAATTAGAAGGCACTCGAAATGTTTCAGTCTTACAATTTGTGCGAATTAGATCATTTTCATTTATAAACAACTATTAAATAAATAACTATGGACAATTAACACAACGCCATCTAGTCCCGCAGTAAGCAGAGCTTGTGTTATAAGTACTAGACAACTGATATAGATTTCTTTTTTTAAATGCATATATAATATAAATAAAAAACACCCAGACTGATACAATCATACTCATGAATACAAATGTTTGCACCGTGCGAGGAATAATAAGGAGGAAACACCGTGAGGAGGAAATCGAACCCGCGAACTATCGGAAGTAAAGCGATGTGTTAAACCGCTAGACCATCGAGGCGTCCTATAATATATGTTCAATGGGTAATTTATGTGAAACGGCAATTTTGCTACACACGGCGATCTGAAAAAACTATTTACAACTCAAGTTTAATAGAACTTCCTCTGATAATATTAAGGTACTATTAATATTATCATTATTTTAATAAATAAGGACTTTGTATCCGTTTTTACCAATATTGCGCGAACGAAGGAGTATGAAATTTCTCACACTTATATAGTTTATATAGAGGAGTGCACAATTATAATAATTTTGTTTATATTATGCATTAATAATGTATTAAATTAATAAAAAAAAAACCATTGTATAAAACAGTGTGAATCGTCCTGAGATTATTATTACTTCAACCACCACTGCCCATATTTCCCTTTATTTTACTGACATGTGTGTTATTTATTAACTACCAAAATTTAACAAATAATTATTGTTTACAATAACAATTTAGTTATTAAAAGTATAAAATAGCTTAATAACAATTAAGATTGTTTTAAATTGTTTTTGTATATGGAAGACTCGATACATGCAAATATATAAAATATTATACCTTATTTTTTTACAATTATAACATGCAATAACACTAATTTAAAGTTCTAACAATAATAAAATATTGTTATAATTAATCTAAATGTAAAACACTAAGGCACATGATTTTAGCATCCATATAGTATAGTTTTATACATATAAATTTATATTTGTGCAATTTGAAATGGTCCCCAACATTTTTAATCTTTTGCAAGTTATATTTAAACTTACTGTTTAAACCTCTTTCTCAGTATGACCCTTGGTCATTATGAAATTAAAATCGCTCTTACAGCAAACTAAAACTTGTATAATTCAATATAATTTTCGAATTATAAATCAGTATTAAAAAGCTAAAATATGATTAAAAGATTAAAATATTAGGGCAACACTAAATAACTAGGTTTGTTACCCGTGTGTTGTTCACACCAAGTCACACGTTGAGCGGAGAGCGTCTATTCTTAAAAACTCGACCTTGACCAATCGGAATTTTTTTTAATGGTAAATGATGGAGCCCTAAGGTCGACCTTTGATAAAAGTTTAGTCTCAATCGTTCAAGATGTTTCCTTACAAAGAGTGCATATTTCATCTCTAAGATCACTCTGCTCAATCAGTCAGTAATAATAAAAATTGATAAATTATACAGAAGTTGCCTAAGAACAGTTACTAATAATTAGTGGTCAAATTACCCAGGATGGGCCTAACTGACTCTGGTCATGCTCATTATATCATCCTCAATTTTTTTCTCTGGCCGCAGCTACATCGAACGATAGGCACTCCAAACCCATGGAAGAACTCTGTGTGAAGAACGTGTGGCTGAAGGCCAACTTCTGCCTGGTGGATACGACTTTAGTCTGAGAGCACTGCTATGGCCTCGAACCTAATTTCGATCCCCATTTGAATTGGACGGGGGATAGATCAAAGGAGACACTTAGTGCTCCACTATTATATAACCTTAGCGTCAATGTATGCGCTAAACAATTCGATCATGAATCATATAAAAAGAATGTTATTTCTTTACAGAGGCTATCTTCAGAATATGCTTCAATTTTTATCCATGACGGGTCTAGTCAGCACAACTTAAAAAGGGAGAACACAATAGATCTATCTAGGTCAGTAAAGATACAGGTCCATCAGTTGACAATAGGCCAAAATCTTCAATAAAAGAAATACAGGTGCATTTCAGATTACAACACTAATGTAACTAACATTAGTGTTGTACCATTCCCAGTCATATTCCTATTTAAGAATACTTAATTTAACTGACAGTAAGTTAAGACTCACAGTATCTTTGTACTGATATTATTCTTCCTTCTCTTAACTTTTCCACAAACATGATCCACCAAAAGATAATGTCTACTAAAGCTACAGTTACAAGTATTACATTTAAACTTACGTATTTTCCAATGCCGCTCTCTAATGTGAGACGGAAGACTTTTCTTTAGCATCTCTTTCTTGCAGTAATCACAAATCGCTCGACTGTACTGCGATTTATCGTTCCTTGACAAAACATAGTGTGCGTAAGCTGTAAAGTCTTGTGTTATATCCCTTTCTTTTATATTAACTTTAGTATCTTCCAATTGCTTTGTTACTGCATCATCACACTTTTTAATTACAATGATATTGTTGTTTACCTTTGTCATTTGCACATACATTTCTGATTCCGAGACTCTTTCAACCCACGTGTCATTCAATTTCATCTTTTCGTGTACATTCGTAGCTGCCGTGGTTTTCAAATTGAAGTGCTCTTTACGTATATGAAATTTTAAGAGACGTTCTTCACAATATGTCACTCCGCAAGCCATACAACTATATTTTCGGCTGAGTGTACTGTCGTCGTGTATACGTAAATGAACTATCAAATTCCTCTTATCTACAAAATCTCGTTCACAGTAGTCGCAGAAGAATTTTTTTGTTGCACCTGGAATTATATAAGTTATATCACATTTATTATGTTATTGAAATAATATTAATAACTCTAAACAATCTGCATAGGACGATGTAGTTCTAAGAAAGCGGAGCTTGAGGTATGCATATTAAACCGTCATCATCATCATTTCAGCCCCAAGGAGGACATCCACTGCTGAACTAAGGTCTCCCTCAAATATCTCCACCACAATCGGTTCTGTGCTGCTCACATGCAACACTTTCCTGCGATCTTGACCAGATAGTCAGTCCACCTTGTTGGATGCCTTCCCACGCTGCATTTTCCTGTCCTCTGACACTAAGTACATTAATGTCCCCAATAGCCATCTGTCCTAGAAGCTATGTGCCAGCTCATTGCCAGTCGACAAAGTTTTGGATTTATAATATTAAACATTACATAGTGTAAGTCGCTGTCTGTCCGTCCCTACGTATGCTTAGTTCTTTAAAACTACGCAACTGATTTTGAAGCGTTCCTTTTAATAGATAGCGTGATTCAAGAGGAAGGTTTATATATATAATAATACATGTACACCTGTGTGAAGCTGGAGCAAGTAGCTAGTAAGATTAGTGTCCATTTGTGTGTCCATTATCATCCATAAAAAAAAAAAATAACCTTAGACAATTTGCACAGTGCCATCTAGTATCAATAAAACCAGAGCTAATGTTATGTGTATTAGACCACTGATATGTAATAAATGACCCTGGACAATTAACGCAGCATCATCTAGTCCCATGGTAAGCAGAGGTTGAATAATGGGCACTAGAACACCCGGACAGATACAAACAATCATATTCATGAATACAAATTTTTGCAAAGTACAAGGTATTTAACCCGTGACCAACATAAGTAAAGCTATGTGCCAAACTGCTAGACCACTAAGGCAGTCAAATAAATACTGAAATACATAGAAAACACCGCGACCAATACTTTCATGCTCATGTTTTCACTATGCACAATAGACTATTGCTGTTGAGTAAAAACAATATAAGCATCGTGACTAGGGTGCTTATTGGACTGCAAATTGAATAAACACATGGCAAACTTAGGCCTGTGCTCAACAAAAATGTGTAGATTTTGCCAAACTGACAAGGAAATGCCATTACACATCCTATGTGGTTGTAGCCCACTCATGCTTGAATAAAATATCTCCTTTGAAAAGTATACACTATTTTGAGGATATAAAAACCACCACCAATAAGAGTATCCTTGAGTTTTTGTCCCAGATGGGTCTAGGTAGTATTTGAAAAAGGGCGAGCACAATAGATCTATACAGGTTGGTGTTAAAGGTTTACATCAGACAATAAGCCAAAACCCTCAAAAAAACATGCGAGGAATCGAGCCCGACCATGGGAAGACAGTGTGCTAAACCACTAGACTACCGAAGACGTCAGATAGAAGACAAGTTTTGTTTAGGTTGCTACTAAAATATGTTTTATACAAAAACCTGTATGAGTAGCGATGTGACGTTTGTATGCGTCTTTTCTATAGAATTGTTTAATACAATAAGAACATTCATAGAGAGGTGCAACTGCATTGTGTTGATACAAATGACTCTTGAACTTGTAAGCGTATCCAATTATAATTTTGTTACAAATATTGCACAGATTCCTTTTCTTGCTTTGTTTAACATTTTTCCGTTTCATTCTGTTGATAAAATTGTAATAAAAACGTTCTAGAATTTTATTTTAGGTTTTATAAATCATTTAAGACGTCATGAGGTAAAATAAAATTAAAAATAAAAGTAAAAAGAAACGAAAATAAAACAAAAAAACAAATGAAGTTAAACACAGACAATCAATCAGGTGTATAATTGTCAATCAAACTGTCAGTCAGTGACGCATTTATTCATTGAAGCAAGGCAAAGGATTGGTCTCCATACAGCTATACTATAATTTTGAATAAGAAACGAAACTTGTAACGTAATTTAACTGTTCTTACTTTGATTTTTAACGAATAATCAGCAGTTTTTGTACGAGAATGTTAAGTTCAAACAGAAAGTCGCCCCCGTTGTCTGTACGCTTATATCTTTGAAATTAAGTAACATTAAAATAGTTTTCAGCAACAGATAAAGTGATTCAAGAGCAATGTATATATGAATATACATAAAAATTATAATATAGAAAGCCAATTAAAGATTTGTAATGTACCCAGGCAAAACCGGGCCGGTCGCTAGTATAGTATAATTCAATCAATTATAAAATGTAAATGCAACTATACGCATTACATATATGTAATATATAATGCATTTATTATTAGATAGCAATGAAATAGTGGACCCTGGAGTTCTGAAATATATAACTGGCCGCTAATAAAGAGAACATTCTTTAAAAAACAGAGAATAAACAGCTTTTTATTCATGTAAAAATGTTATGAGAATCAGAATTAGACATTACATAATTATGTATATTCTACAATAAATAATTATTTAGTCCTACACGCGTTATAGAACAGTTCTGTAAAATTACTCCATGACAAAGATACCGTCTGTGTTTACTGTTAATACACATTATTTCGCGAGTGGAGTTCGTCATATTCCGCAAGAGACTGTCTCTGTTTACCTGCCATCTGAACGTCTTCTGCCTGCGGACCCAGTGTGCGTGTTCCTTAACAGTGATTTGGATTGGATTGCAGGTCAGTGGGTACTGTTATTTTATGGGTATTAGAATAAAAATATAATAAACAAAAAATAAATAATAAGTTAAATAAAATTGGAGTGTCTGTTTGTAAGATTGAAATAACCATTTTTTACTACATGCATATGAATATAAATACGGTACATACACTAAAGTATTTTTTTTTTACAATTTTCGTCTGTCTGTCTGTTTGTTCCGTCTAATCTCTGAATTGGCTGAACCGATTTTGACGGAACTTTTATGTAATAAGGAGTAAGTTCTCGTAATTCTCTAACTTTTTTTATTAAAGTCCACGCGGACGAAGTTGCGGTTACAGCTAGCTCTCTTTCTTTAGGTATGAAGTGGATACTTAATAAAAATAAAAATAAAATAAGTGCCTTAATTTTTTTTATTTAACAGTAGGTACTCAATAAATATCATCATAAACTTATGTACAGATGTTATTGAAAAATTTAATTATCTATTATTCAACCCTGAGAGAATGGTGGACTGGCGTTTGTTTGCACAGAGTAGATACCGGTGACTCTGTAACAAAAAGAAAGTAGCATAGAGTAAATGTTTATACAGGGGGGGAAGGGGATTGTTAGTAATGTGGACTCTTGACCTCATTACTAACAATGTACTATATCAGGTTGACCTCCACGCGGTTCCCCCTGGAAACCATCGAGTTAAATTCCTGGTGAATTTGTCACGATGTGCTAACTGACCTGACCTCATGTTCATCTTATCATCCTTCACTGGTGCCCCGCCAGCGTAAACCGTTAGCGCAGGCAGATGCACCATCCCATTATCATGCATAAAAAAAATGTTTATATAAGGGTAGGGGGAGGGGTGATTATTAATGGACTAGTGGTTTATTAGGAATATACTTTGTCAGGTTGATTTCTACTGGAAATAATCGTAGTTGAAAGTTAAATTCTGGCGACGACAGGCCATTCATTCAGACCTGATTTTATGGTAATCTTATCATCCTGGACTTTTTTCTTGAACTAGTTTAGTGCTGTTGACCGCAGCTGGGCTTTACAGCTTCAACGGAAGAAAGGGACCGAGTACAGATGGCACTTCAAACCAGCGGAAGGACTTACGGAGCGGCTGAAGGCCAACTTCTGCTTGACAGATACAATTTCAATCTGAGGGCACTGCTAAGGGTTCGAACCTCGGCTTAGACCGTCGTAATTTCCATTCCTGTAAGAATTAGACAGGGGATCGATCGGAGGGGTAACCGGCAGAGTCGATGTGCAGCGTCCGCTTGATTGCGCTTGATTGCGGGTGGTGTGCTTGAGGTCGTCGTCTTCGCCGGCGAGGACGATGTCGGGTATTTTTGTAATAGCGTGGAGGGAGGGAGCTGGTGGTCCCGTAGGGAGGTTCGCTGGCCTTATGAAGCCGTCGGGAGCAATGACAGAAATATCATAAGTCCATATAGACACAAGTTGAACGCAGAGTTTGTGAGAGAACAGTTTTGGATTTTATTAAATTTTAATGACATTAAATTGGTAACCATAGATATTTTATCATATCGACTCTTGGGACATGTTATTTTTTTGTTTTTTTTTTTAATAATAATAGCATATCAATCTCACTCCAGTCATAACAGCTCTGATGGTTTGTCATTACTTACCCTGTCTTAGGTTCAACTCCACCCAAGTTCACGGTGGCGGAGCCGGTGCATTCCTCCAATAAAGCCTCTTCATAATTGGCGCACTGGCGGCTGGTGAATCCACCGCTGGTCAAAGCTTCAGCCAAGTAAAAGTATGCTCTGAAATGAACAAACATACACTTTCAAGTTCAAGTTCAGAAATTTAAGACAGATATTACTTCTTACTAATATTATGAACGCGAAAGTTTCTACGTGTGTATGTATATATTTGTTACTCTTTCACGCAAAAACTACTGAACGGATATTGATGAAAATTGACTGTAATATAGCTTATACATCAGAATAACTATAATTTAAAAAGATATTCTGTAAATTGGGCGAAAATAAATGATAAAATGTCAAGCATGCAGACGAAGTTACGCGGGTAAGCTAGTATGGTATGTAAAGTAAAAGAGGAAATGTATATGAGAAATGTTGTCATACGAGAATTCGGAGTTTTTTTGCACTTCCGACGGTCGCGGGTTCAATTCCTCGCACGACGCTAACATTTGTATTCATTATAACAATAATCATAATAATAATATCTCAGGACAATTCACACAGCGCCATCTAGTCCCAAGCTAAGCAGAGCTTGTGTCATGGGTACTAGACAACTGATATAAATACATGGATACATTTTTTTTTGTAAATAAATACATATTATACATTTGATATATATCATAGTCCTCCTGAATGGAGTGGTAACACAGGTTTTACAATGATAACGTGATGTTCGTAGTACTGTTCATGTAAATAGGTGACTGTTACTGCTCTCCTTCAAGTAGGTAGGTGAACTTGTTTGTCATTTATTTAATGGTTACCAATTACTTTATGGTTTCCGCTCACCATTAAATAAGCTGTCACATTGGCTGTCATTCCATTTAGTACAATAGAAAAAGGAGGGCACTCACCTCTCATGATCACAGAGGTCATCTCGACCACATCCAGGCATGTTAATTCCTCCATTAGGGTAGATGTCGACTTGGCCCATGGGTTTGATGTATCCCAGATTTCCAACGTTGGTATGGATGACTTCGGTGTACTGGGCATCGTTGCGTCTCAGTTGCGGCAACAGTTCTTGTACAGCGCTCCAGTATGTGGGGTCCAGACCTAGATAGATAGATAAAGTCTTTATTCACCACTTACAAAATTATACATGAGGTAAAGAAAATACATGAGCAAAAAAAAGAAATGGAGGAGGCTTTATCTGCCGCAAAGGTGAATAGGTAACCAACTCAGCATAAAGCTACAGATAAATCTGCAGCGATGATATTCTGTTGACTCCGATATTCCGAATGAACATGATACAGGTTTGTATGAACTTAAGATAAATAGTTAGATAATTGATTTATTGCCAACATAACACAAATAATACAATTTACAATAAGCAATAAATAATTACATAGAAAGTTGGCAATAGGAGCTGCCTCAGCTGTTATATAAGCACAACCTTAATGAGGTGCAACTATACAGCGCTGGTTTCCAGGCAGCCCCCATTACTCATTAAAAAAAAAAAAGATGCGGGTTTCTTACTATATACAGATACATATAAATTAAACAAAAAAAATATTAAATAAGATCTAGGATACACAAATATATAAAATGAATTACAATATTTAATGCTCACAAAAACCAAAATCAGTTACAATAACAGTACCAAATGGAAAAAAAATACAAAGATAAAAAGGACAGCCAATCCGTGTCACCGCTTAAAAGGTTAGGCTCACAAGTTAAGGATAAGTTATTGTATCTTGTGTTGTAAAATAACTATACGTATACATACCGGTAATATATCCAATCTGTCTCCTCAATCTTCTGCCGATGATGCCTGCTTGCAGAGCACCAAGACCGTCACCAACCAAGTTAATGGTAGACAAAGGCTGGTCGGTGTTATCATAGATGAATGCAATGAAGTCCCTCACATTGCCGGCTGGAAATAAATGTATAAAAATTACTGAAAGGTATATTTGCCATTTTTAGATTCTACAGAGTCTACGTCTTATGTTGTAGTTAGGTTTGGATACATAGCGCTCTATAGAAATGACGCTGTATTTTGGTTTCTGTAGTTCGGTTGGTGGCAGTAAAATAACAGGATACGGACATGATGCCTTAATCCTTAAAAACTGCAATATGAGAAATTACATTGGCGTCACGTATCGTGCATTCTCTATGAATATTAAAAAAACAAAATCGATTCACTCAGATAAAGACCTAGAGGATGCGGAATATGCGGAGTAAAACTTCTAAAATCTGCAACTACGAGTATATAAGTTTAGGAAAATACGCCTAAATCTTTCAGACAGAAATTTCCGCCTTAATAAGATATTTGGAAGTAATTTTAAGCTAAGCTCACTCAGAACATATATGAAGCTGCTCTTCTAGTACTTCACTCGTACGAAATCTGATTAGACTCATTAGAACTGATATCCCCAGAATAAAGTCGTATCCGTCAAATTGGTATTGGCATTCAACAGATCCATAAGTCTTATGGGGTTCGAGTGCCTTTTACACTTTTACCGGACAAAAAGATGCCATTTACGACCTAATAATATATTTGGGAGAAACTATTTTTTAATAAGAATTTAGAGAGTAATAGAAAAAAACTTACAGGACAATAAGTTGAAGATTGCGCTCCAAACAGTGCTGGAAGCTTCTGCGCCACGGCTCCAGTCCACAACGACAACGTTCACATCAGCAGCTGCCAGGTAACCTGGGGACAAAATACAAAATTATGCATATTAGTAAATTTGTCCTAGTTCTCGCTATTATCCCAAAAACGCTTTCTCATTACACCGTAAGGTTAGCTGTTAGAGAATGAATGGAATTGAGCTCTATTACGTGTTGTACAAAAAAATTCGTTCATGAAAGAATAAATAAACGAAATGTCTCCTTCGAAAAGTACACACTCTATCCTTGGGAGATAGAAACCATCGCTCCTAATAAAAATCCTTCTTAAATTCTTGTTTCTTTTGGGCCTAGGCAGTGGAATCTAAAAAAAGGACGAGCACAATAGATCTCTGTAGGTCGCAGTACTCGTAAGTGCCGAGTAATAGCTCAAACCCCATAATAAGAAAAACATAAAATTAATATAAGGAAATAAAAGAGGCATGACATCTTGGTCATCATTGGTGGCATCAAGGGCGTCACATGCTAACGCGATGTCGGTGCTATTCATGTATATATGAAAAGATTACGGCCTTCCATCAGATGTTAGCTGAGCTGCCATTAATGGCATTTAAAAAAAATTATTCGTGGTCAACTTACTAGGTATGAGAGCGAGGTTGAAGTTAGAGAGAGGTGATCCACCATATCCGTGGATGAGGATGACGGTGCGGCGTGCAGCGTTGTAGTTGCTACCCTGGAGTAGATTGGGGTTGCCAATGACAAGCGGTTGGCTGACTGTGGGGTTTTCTCTGGAAGAAGGTAAAATGTAAGATGAGCGCTGTGCAGCGTGCGTTTAAGCGTTACAATCATACTATCAGCAGAGTCTAGACTATGTACTTTGAGGTATTGCTAATAATTCTGTTTGTTTGTTTACCACACGTAGTCCCATTGGAAACTATTGTGATACATTACTGGTTAATTTGTCAGCAAGGTCTAACTGACTTAACCAGATGTTCATCTTATCATCCTTCACTGGTGCCCCGCCAGCGTTTAGTGCAGGTGGCGCACCATTTCATGTATTTAAAAAGAATTTAAACGGAATCGAAATCGTTGTCCGGACCCGATGTTCGAAACCTTGGCAGTGCCGTCAGATGTATCCGTCAGGAAAGAGTTGGCTTTCAGCCGCTCTATAAGTCCTTCCGCGGGTTTGGAGTGCCATCTGCACACAACTCCTTATAGTACAGTCACAGATAACATAATGGTACAGTGAAGTAAAGGCCAGTTGCGGCCAACAACATTAGAATGGCGCCTTTTTTTATAACACGGGGGAACAACGAGTTTGTGGTTCACCCGATGGTAAGTGATTACCGCCGCCCATGAGTACCCGCAATAGCAGGGGAATTCGTGGGCATTGGCGGTCTTTTAAATAATCTTGAAAGTAAAATCATATCAGTTCGGAAATAACATTGCCAGAAGGTGGTTCCACAATATGGTTGTGCGTGGCAAAAAGTTTCTAGAAAAATCCACGATGGAGGACCGCCATTTTTCCTGAACTATTATTGTCATTATCATACATAAAGTAGTGTACCTGGTGAAGAGATGGAATTCATTATGCCTTGCAGGAATGTAAATTGGGAAGATGTCAGCGATGCTTAGCCAGGTGTCAGTTAAGGTAAGGCCTCCGATGTCATTGGGCAGGTGCTGGTAGCGAAGATCGGAACCAAGTTTGCTGATGAAGTCTGCAGCAGGATTTGCTGTAGACGAAAAAAAAAATTATTTATACAATAATTGTCGTGAAATATCTTATATATAACATTCTCAAACCACAATGTTTGTTACCATACTCCTCTGAAACGGCTTGACCGATTTTTATGCAATTTTATATGCATATTAAGTAGGTCTGAGAATCGGCCACTATCTATTTATATTTTTCATACCCCAAAGTGATAAGGGTTGTCCACTCCTTGTTTGTTTTTAATTTTTTTTTGTATAGAGGCATTCAAAACACATACAACTCAAAATTTTCACCCTACTAATTTTTAATTGCAATTTTGTTTTATATTGCAAAACAACGTTTGCAGTGTCAGCTAGTACAATATATTATTAGATAGATAGATAGATTATGTACATAGTACCACAGTCTTTTAAAATTTATCTTATCTACATGTATGTAAATATATATAAATAATTACAATTAACAGACAATCTAAAATCAAAACAATTTGACATTGAATTATTTATCTGTAATTATGATATATTATCTATATTTAATACATGTATTAATTACGTCTCATAAAAATATCTATATAGTATAAATCTATGTTACATAAACATAAAGATTTGTTATTTCTTAGACTGCAGGAAAAAAATTATGATAAAAAAATTTGATGTTCATAAGGTTGAAATGTCCTACATGAAGATATGATTTTTGAATTTGAATTCTGTTTTATGAACGATTCCTTAACATATGTAGAACCTTTTGTCTTTTGTCTGAACTTATTCTCACACCCAAAAACCTGAGAGGTCATGCATGCGGTTTCAGAACAGTTTCCTTCCGCGCACAGTCAGATAGAAGAAGGAACTACCTCTCTAGACACTACAGCATATAGGCTTTCAAGTAGGGTATATATTAAGGTTTTCTAAGGATCGGCAGCGCGTACGTGACTCTTGGCGATTCAGGCGTCTATAGGCTACGGTAACCGTTTACCATCAGATGGGCTGTATGCTTGTTTGCTATCATTGTGATATAAGAAAAACGTATAAACGGGTAAGCATGCAGTCAAGACAGTTAGCAAATCGTGGCGAATATATTAGCAATTTATAACAATCCATCGCATGGTAGAGAATTATTAGTAATGTGTACTAATCCTATTGCTAGCAATGTACAATGTCAAGTTGATCGCTGTTCTCCCATGAAACCATTGTGGCATTTGGCTGAAGAATAGAAAATCATTTATCCAAATAAACTTACATTGAAGCACTTTTGAATAGTCATCACATTTTTTTAATCTACCGCTCATTCGGAAAGCTGTCTCGTCACAAGAAGAACGAGTCCTGCTCGTTTTTCTTGTGACGTGAGTGACTTGCGTGTTGCTCTTTTAAATAATTTTATTCTTATTTACAATTTAAGTTTAAGTGTGCGAATACAAACTACCGATTAGCACTAATTCAATTAAATAATCAAATAGAAAAAAATATTTAATACACAACCACTGGTTAAACAATTAATAAGAGGAAATTAGTTATAGTGATTAGAGCAGACCAGTCCCTACAAGCAGAATTTGCCACAATGGGCTAACAAACCTCATCTTATCTTCCACTGGTGCCCCACGCAAACAGTTAGCGCAGGAGCACCAATTATTATTAACCAAGTAACATTCATTAAAAAAATAACAATACATCAGGGATTATACATATATGTACACGTATATAAATTAGTACGATGTGTAACATATTTTATCTAAAATGAATACTGCCGTCATTGTTTTTTGACAAATAATATTTGTCATAAAGCAATATCTTCTATACTTTTTCTTATACCTACTACGATGGTGGCAATTAAGCATATGGACAACTGATTGTAAACGGTTTTTATTATAATGGGTAGTTTGGGCTATTGTCAGGTGCATGGATCTGTAGCACTGCGACTTACATTGATCTTTTGTGCTCGCCTTTTTCAAAGTTCGCTACCTAGGATGCTTACGCTTACGAGCGATGGTTATTATCTCAGGAAAGAGTAAACTTTCCAAAGGAGATATTTCGTTTATGCATGAGTGGGCTACAACCACATAGGATGTGTAGTGGCGTTTTCTTTTCAGTCTGGCAAAATCTGCAGATCTTTGTTGTTCATATGCCAGTATTGTAAACGGTCACTACAGCCTGTAGATGCCATAAACACCAGGGGTGTCATATCCTCGTTGCCAACCCAAAGAAATAACGGAAACGAAAAAAACAAAACAGCTACGACGATTTTGTGCGTAATTATCTAAATAAAGATTTTTAGCTTATAATATTACAATAATTAACCATTGTTATCATGTAATCGTGATTGATTAGGATACGGCTGTGATAATAACAAGTAAATACGAGATTATAGCAAATCCTTTCCTGTTTAGTTGATATTTACTTATCAATAAAATTTAGAAACTATTGATTGTAATTTAAATATACCACTTGTTTACAGTTGTATAGATTTTTTATGTAGTCGCAATAACAAGTAAGTTTATGGCGAAACTGGTGGTAAGAGGTAATCGCTTCGATTCGATATAGAGGGGAGGGGGGGTCGTTAGTAATGGGGATTAGATCCACATTGCTATCAATGTACCATGTCAGGCAACTGTGAATAGTTAGCGTAGACTGGGGCACCATTCCATTACCATACAAAAACCTTAGGATAAACATAAGACTAGAATAAGGTAATATAGATAAGGTTAACATGTTACCACATCTGCTCTCGAGCAGAGAGCACTCCAAATACGCGGAAGGACTTAGGGAGCTGCTGAAGGCCATATTCTTTTTATAACATGTGTACTGGTCTTCACAAAGACAGTTTTCTGCCGGAGGGATGGCGAAGGGGTGTATGAGATTCTTACTCGCTAAACAACCAGATAACCACAATGCACTGCAATGGAATTGCATGAGCGTTGCGGGCCTTTTAAGAAGGAACCAGCTCTTTTCTTAAAGGTGCCAATATCGTATCGGTTCAGAAATATCATTACTGGAAGGTGATTCCACAACGTGGCAAAAAGTTTGGAAAAACGCAAGATCGAGGACCACCATTCATCCAGATGGTCAGAATGGTATTTTGGTTTCTAAACCCATACCTTACGGAATGATACTATAGTGTGAGGGCACCGGTAGGACCTGAATTTAGCCTGAGGGGGTCGTAATTTCGATTCTGCTGAAAACTCTTTAAAGTATATCAAGCGTTTACACATGCATATCCTTATGAAAACAAATCACTAAAATAATAAAATAACCTAATAATAATAATAAAAAAATATTAAATTCTTGACTTTCTCAATAATATCTACACACAGCACAACCTCTCCCATACTTGGCTAAGGCCCGTGAAGAAAAGATAAATGACAATAATAATAAAATAAAACTCTGCTAAGAATAATAGCTTTTGTTATAGGTACTAGACAACAAGAAGTAGAACTGAAAAAAGACTATTCATAATTCAATTTCAAAATATCTTTATTCATGTAGGTCTATTATAGACTTTTAAGATATGATGGTAGAACCAAACTGATGGTAGACTTGACCATCAGTTTGGAATGATTACGAGCTGAGAAGAACTGAAATGAAACTCAGCTCGTATTCTTTTCAAATATGGTTGTACATGTTTATAATAATACAGATTCATTTTTAAATTCAAATTTGGGAGAATAGTTTTTTTCGGCCTACTATAATATCTGTTGGTCACAGCTGGCCTTTACAGCTTCACCGGACGATAGGGGCGAGTGCAGATGGCACTCCAAACCCGCGGAAGAACTTATGGAGCGGCTGAAGGCCAACTCCTGCCTGACGGGTACGGGAGAATAGAGCATATGGTATAATTAGAAGTGACTATATCGTACAAGGCATGGACTTCCGCAATACAACACTTATTTCGATATTTTATATATACAACGTAAGTCCAAGATGTACCTATAGTTCTGTTTTTGGACAGTAGATTTTTTTAAAAGTCAATTACCTATATTCTATAAATCTATAGTCTATAAATAGAACTATACTATAATATTTTTATTATATCAATTTGTATTTACAATAACTATAAGGTATATTTAGAATATTTACATAACTT